CAGCTAGTGATGTACCGTGCCCGAGCACACTCCCAAGGACTGGAAATTTTGTTGGAAGCATTGCCGGCAACGCTCCCAAAGTGGGAATTTGCTGGGATTATTGGATAATTTTTTCGAGTTTTCAAAATATTTCGTTTGAATTTGAATTTTTTTATGGTTACCTGTGTACTGGATACGAAAGTTGACATTTTTATATCATAATAACGGATATTCCCAGGATACTGGCAATGTTCCCGGCAAAATTCCCAGTAATATTTCCAATTTATTGCCAGCAAAGTTCCCAAGAAACATTTAAGCGATGGGTATCTATTTAGTGTAGAATATCTTACGAAATTAATATCAAAAGTAGATAATTAAAACAGTTAAAAGAAAATTAATTATTTTTCAATATCAACATATGAAAACAATAACTAAATAGCGTTTCCGTAAACAAATTATAAAATTAAAATAAACAAACCAACTTTTTATTAATATTTTTTATGCATAATTAATATATACTAGGTACCTATATACTAATACTGTAAAGATGTAAAGTCTCTAAGTTTGTTTGTAAGAGCGAGGGGGGGTTATCTTTGCACATTCTGATTCGAGCATTAAAATTCTTTCACCTACGAGAAGCTACACCGTATTTGGGTGACATAGGCTATAATTTCAACGGGCGATGTTGCAGGAACACAGTAAGTAATATATACATTTATACAGTGGTCTAATGAAATCATAAAACATCAATAATTTTCCATTTATTTAAATTGATATTTACTTAAATACTAGTCTAAATTACTTTTTCCTGTTGTATCTTTTACGAGTATGAATATGCGAGAATGTGGAAAATAATCTCTCAACCGAAGCTGACGTAGCAGGTACTGGTAAAATTTTAATTGCTATTTGATCCAATAATGTATTTTCGAAAAAGTCATCCACCACTATTTTGGATCGATTGTATTAGCAGCTTGCCAAATAATATTTTTTGCATATAGCCTATTTCGACATTTATATTCTGATAGTTCTTTTATCAATTAGCAGATTCATCGTTAGTAGTGGCCAAATTCATAATAGCATTACAGCCTTCTAAATAATCTTCTCTAAATAGGAACCACGAGATTTTGGATCAAACAGCTGCAAAATGCAAATTATTCAAAGCATTCTGTTTTCGTTCAAGAAACTTAAGGAGTTATGGTAAATTATCTTCTAATACATCCATTGCGTTTCAGCTATTTAAAAGCTCCTCGATATCTAATAACGCTCCATAAACTAAATGTATTGTTCAGTAATCTCCCTCAAGCTTAGAGATCCAATGCACAATTGGCGTAAAAAATCTGATATGATTTTTAATCGTGGCCCATTTTGATTCACTTAAGATATTTTTTTTATAGTTATCTAGTTCCCGAATGTCAGTGATCACCATAGACGGAAGTATAAGCGTTTAAAAAAAAACCAAACAATGTAAATAACTTCCCCATCTATGTAGTTTTAACTGGTAATACGAGCGCTATATTTATAGATTTATCCTCAGAGTCTTTTGAATTCGGATTTTAGAATATGTGATTTTGAATTTTTTGTAGAATTGCAAGATTCTGGTGTTCTCTTTAAAAAATTTATCCATATCCTCTGGTCTAATACATTTAGAATTCGGGTCAACCCTAACAAGTGCCAGGGTATCATAGTGGGTAGTACGCGATTTTTGGCGAGGGTGGATATGAGCTCTGTCACTCCCCTTAATTTTAATGGCAATCTTATAAAGTTTGCCCCTCACGTTGTCGATCTGGGTATTTGCATTGACAGCTCACTGATCTGGAGGACGCAGATTGACTCTGTCTGTAGTAAAGTAATTGGCGTACTTAGGTCTTTTTATCAATTCAAAAATTTCCTTCCCATTTCCACTAAAATACTCCTAGTCCAATCAATAATCTTTCTTATCATTGATTATGCTGATGTGTGTTATGCTGACATCACGCAGGAACTTCTAAACAAACTGGATCGTTTACTCAATAATTGCATTCGCTTTATTTTCTGCATTCGTAAATATGATCATGTCTCTGCCTTTAGGAAAAAGTTGAAACGGCTAACAATTCGCCAGCGTAGGGATCTGAGGATCCTTTCCACTCTCTATTCTATACTTAAAGATCCGTGTGCACCTGGATATTTGAAATGTAAATTTCAGTATCTAGGTGCTTCTCACAGCCGTAATCTTCGTTCAGACAGCAAACAAACTCTCATTTTTCCTTCTCACCGGACAGGTTTCATTTCCAATTCATTTTAGCTTCAAGCTATACGACTCTGGAATGTACTGCCTTCCCACATACAAGCTGCTCCAAATAAACTTGCTTTCAAACGTCTACTGCGCGAACATCTATTGAATTCTTCTGTGGTTTGTGGTTAAATTGTTTATGTAATTATATATATATATTTATTTATGTATGTATTATGCATAGATATTGGTAGTTGTAATTTAATTTTTCACATTGAAACTGTTTGGCTCTCTGTTTCATAGTTGCACCGCCTTTTTTTCTCTGCTCTCTGCTAAAACTCTCCGGTTGACTGGTAGAGAATGCCCCCATGGCATTAAGTCCGCCATTTGTACATTTTAATTTGTGCAATAAAGCTTAAATAAATAAATATTGCCGACGGAGCATTGTTTACATGCGTTTACAAGATGATACACAAATTTGGTTGCGTTCTTTAATGTAAAATTATCGCCACAAAAGTTACATTTATAAGATTTATTTCGTCTCTGTTTTCTTTGAGTCGCAAACAATGTACATACTAGCAAAACGGGAGCTGCAGTATTATGTTTATTATAAAACGTTGAACTCGTCGTTGAGCGCAGTGCTGTCATAGCATAGAGATTCAGGCAAATAAAAATAAGCACAAAGGTAATAAAGTTTTATTTAATTTAAGTTCTATGATGTGACACCGCTGCGCTCGACGACGAGTTGAGGATGTTTTTAACATATTATTAGATATTGTAGAAGGCGTTACGTATTGAAGTTAGAATCATAACGAGGCAGTGATTTAGTATGCTTATTCATCTATATAATACGACAAAAAGTCCTGGGAACTTTCGGCAATTATTGGGACAAATATTGGAGTGGAAAATTTCCGGCAGTGGCAATATTCCCAGATGTGCATCACTAACTGCAGCCATCCGCCAAAATCATAATAATATAATAAAGTAACAAATGTATGCACGCGCGCACGGGGGGTGGTGTGGGCCTATAACCGTGCCGGGCCTCCGATGAGGTTAGTTCGCCACTGTTCATCATACGGTACATTTATATTGTATGTCTGTTTGTTTCGGCTAATCTTTGATACAGCTGGACTTATTTTGACGGGACTTTCACTGGCACATACTTTCCATGCGGGCGAAGTCGTGGGCACGGCTAGTACCTACAATATAAGGTAAAGGGATGATAAACTTTTTACGCCGGCTCCACACGTTGGCCCCAATATTGTCCCCAACGCTACTCGTCCAACGTGTTGATCTAGAAAATGACATTGGTCCCAACGTTGGGGCGAGCGTTGGTAGTTGGCCGGCTCGTGTCGATTTCATCAAGAGAATCTGTGCCAACGCTCGCTATCTCGTATAAGCGGCCGCCAAGCATTCTCTGAATGTCATAACAACGCAGTGTCACTCTGCCACAGGCTGGCTGATACGTGATGCATACGTACTCATGACGATTTTTTTGTTATCATAATGTTTTATTCTTGATCATTAAACTACTACACTTTTAGTAATCATTTTTAGGTAATAATTACTTTAAGTAATAATTTAACTTTTTATAGGTATCAACCCAGTTGTTGTTCTGTACAGCTATAGGTAGGTATAAAGAATCATGTCCAATTTTGACCTAAAAATTTACTAACGCATCTGGTGATGTGATGTATATAAAAATAGTTTATTTTTTACTTATTTCATATTAGGAAATTAAATCATAAAATTAGGTCAGTAAATAATTGCTTGGCTGATCATTATTTTCAAAAAGTACTATGATAATTTTGCGATTCAGACACTAAAATAACGATTTTTTTTTTAGATTTATTTATATATTTACGAGTCCAACTTTAAAAAGATTCAATTTTAATGCAATAACATTTAAAGTAGCTTCACAATTATCTCGAGTTTTAACAGCTGATATAACCTCAAAACATTATTTTCTAATTACAAATATCTCTAGTCTACATATAAAAAATGCTAAGATATTATTCTATTACAAGCAAAAACTGAAAAAACAAGTGACATGTTAATCAATGTATGGAAATAGACATGATTCTTTTAAGAGCATGCCTGAGGTGAGGTACTGTGTATTTTATTTATTGTGGTACTACGCTGCGTTTCTTTACTATCGATAAAATTAAATGCAGTATCGTCCGTTTGTTATGTTAAGGTAAAGTGGTAAAATTTAAATATTGAGCAACCTAGTGTGGTTTTTTTTATTAATTGATAAACGCAATATGTTTTTTTATTAAACTTCGAACCTTTATGTCTTTCTTTTTCTCCATGAATTTCAGCATCGTCACCATACAAACAAATGTTTCTTTATATGAGTTTTATATTCCAAATTAAATATGACTCACAATACTTGGACCTATTTGACCATTGTCCTTTTTGTTTACTTACCTATTCTTTTCTGGAATTCACAAAAAGAAAACTGTTTATTGTAATTAACGATTGGCTAAATTTCACAGGATTTACATATTACATTGATGGTGGTAAGCATGGTTAGCAATTTTAAATGGGGAAGTCGATTAATATGGCCGATGAGCCAACTGGGCGCTAGTTGAATGTCTGATAGTATAGTACCGCTACGTGAATTTGAATTCTATCTTCGAGCGGAATCGCCAGTGAAAATGTGGAAGCCCTTACCGACGGTCAACCAATTAGATTTAGCTTCAAAATGAACGTTCTAACCCGTTTGAAGTTAAACAAAGTTTCGCTATGTGTGGAAAGTTGGTGTTGCTAGCGGTGAATCGAGTGTTTGTGACTGGGGAGAGAAGCTGGAATGATTGTGTGGTTGATATTTGTATGTGTTGCAGGTTAGTGAAACTTCTGAATATATTTTAAATTCGCGAATGATATAGTTGTGCTCTTGATATAATCTTTTGCTTCATTGTAGTAGGACTCTTATGAACCTAGATTTGTCGGTGCATTTGTCATTTAAAGGAGTTATATATATCGTATGACCAGAAGTGTGTTTAAATTTATTTCTTATTATTTTTTATTTTTAATAAGTTTTGGTGCATCTTCTATACATACATAAAATGTAAGTTTGAAATGTCTATATCCTCTGCTATTTGAAAAAAAACATAACTGGGTATTTTTGACAAAACCAAAGGACCTATTATTTTATTCATTCACGGTAGATGATTCTTTGAAATAGAATAAAATAACCTATGGTATACTAATCGGGAAATCTAGAAATGTCTTCCTGATTTTGTTAAATCATAAGCGTGATAATCTGTACAATAGAGACAGTGTTAGCATATTCGTCCCTCAAAGGCCGGCAGCGCGCTTGTAGCTCCTCTAGTGTTGCAGGTGTCCATGGGCGGCGGTAATCGCTCACCATCAGGTGATCCATCTGCTCGTCTGCCCCCTATCCCATAAAAAAAGAAAAAAAAGGTTCTTTCCCCATTGCATCATAAATTATCGAATAATGCATTTCTATGGAGTCGTATTTAACGTTCTGAAATAGATAAAACCATATTTTTGGAGAAACAAGCCTTTAGATCTTCAATATGGCATGGACAGAAACAAACAGGAGAACGAGCAATATTCTACCGCAGTGGACCACTGCGGATCGTCGGGTGCTAACTACAAATGCAGCCGGAATCAACGGATTTACATGCATATATCACACCGAACTTCGAGGATAACTTATAAATAATGTTAATTTCTAGAGGCCAAAACGAGTACCCGTCAATAAGATTATACGGCTCAACAAAAAGATCTCTTTTTTTGTTGCCCTGGATATTCCTGCAGATTTATATATTTTAAGTACCCAATTTGCGAATATATTCATAAAAAATATTTCGTTGGCTCTAGTTTTTTTTTTAAATTTGGTTTATCATAAGTTTAAAATTGGTTCTGCAAGAAATTAATGACTCTGACCATTAATGACCAGTGTGTGTAGATTTGAAGATGGTGAACTTTTTACTTGGTTAGCAAAGTGGATACACCAAATACCCTTGCTTTATTTGTTTATTGGACAGCAGACCAAAGCATTTTCACTGGGAACAAAATGTTTGGCGTTTGAGAAAATCCTTAACTGTTTGTAAAGCCAATGTAATAAATTAGCCACGTTTAAGTAGAAAAAACATACTCCTGTCACTACACATCAAGTTGGGTATGATGAAACAGTTTGTCAAAGCAATGGACAAGGAAGGTTAAATACATTTGTAAAATATTTCCTAAGCTGAGCATGGAAAAGTTAAAAGCTGGAATATTCGACGGTCCTCAAATACGAACATTGATAAAAGACAAAAATTTCAAAAAAGTTATGACTGATGCATAAGAAACAAGAAAGTAGATTAGTAACACACACATTAGTAACAGAAGATATGATACAAAGAGAATAGAAACACATAATGATTGACACATACAAAAGATCCTCAGGTGATGTCGGTTGACACAGAGGAGTACCACACCAACGCTAATATTAAATATTAGTGCACATATATTAGTTTCTGGTCAAATTCTTATTTAATTCCTCTATTTGTTATCTAGTTATATCATCATCAGCTTATTAATATCCCTACTGCTTCAGCACATGCCGGCCAGGCATTCCTGCATAAATGAAATTGTAATCGAATAGGAAGAATGCACAATATCCCACCACGCGGAGCCAGTGCGGATTGGTGGGTGGTAATGACAACAGATGTTTATGACATTGGCTTAAATTGGCTCAACGTGCTAACCACTGCGCCATTGGGCCCCTCGGAAATAATATAAAATTACAAACGAACCTAATATTCTCATTATGTCTTTATTGCTTCCGACAGACTATAGCTTTCTATAACTAATAGAACTGTAGCGTTCTATGAAAGACAATATATATTTTAGGTATGTATTTATTTGATCATAGTTGTTTTTTTAAGGTATAGATAATTAGATAAAAAATCAACCATCGATTCACGAACTCAAGACTCGATGCAAATGAATGTTGTATTCATAAATTTTTATGTAGTATTTCGAATTTATTAAATATAATATATATAATTTTTGTTATATCGGATACTATATACTTTCGTATTTACAAAATTGAGCATGCAAGCCAAGCTATTGATTTAAAATTAAAAGAGGATTAAATTTGAGAAGGAAAGTATGTGTTGAAACCTATTCCGATGTCTTTGGAAATTTACATTATAAATTATAAGTAAAATTTGCAATTGCGAGATAGAATTTCTAGCAATAACTTATTAGGAGAAAGCAGCCTCCTACGTGAGCGCGCATAGATTTATTAACTCTATGTTGCCGTAATATAAGCAATCACACTTAAATGCTAATGACTTGTTTAGTAAACATTTGGTTTAAATATAACCAAAAAGGGTTTCCGCCAAATCCCATAGAAAAAAACCCCAGTCCCGGCGCAAAAGATTGGTATTCATTTTTTTCCAATTCAATGTCAATTAGTACAGTAACATGAAGTTTTTCTTAAAAAGTATCATGTTTGCATGTACCGCCTATGAAAATTTTCTGGGCAAAATAATCATGTTAGCCACCGAATCAGACAATAGTGACCCTTGATATTGTTTCTTATAATAATTATCTAAAATCTGAGATACAATTCTTTTGCGCCGGGACTGGGGCAATTTTGGCGGATACCCTTTGTGTTGCCAATAGTACTTTATTAAATATTATGTTATAAATATTGTACTATATTTAAAGCCTACTATATACTGATGCTGTTGGAGAAATAATAGTACGCAAAATTACTATATTTTTAATACAGAAATAAAACAAATAAATATTCATTTATGAAAGCGTCTAATACTTTTTATTAATGCGACAGATTAGATAGTAAGTTCCTTTCGCCCTCTAAAAAAAATAATAATTTTATAAGCATACTAGCTTTTCGCCGTGGTTTTATATGAGACAAAGAAACATTCCTTTTGAATAACCCTTTCTATTAAAAAAAACCGCATCAAAATCCGTTACGTAGTTTTAAAGACTTAAGCATACATAAGGACAGAGAAAGCGACTTTGTTTTATACTTTGTAGTGATTGCTGATAGGCTTAATTGAATAAAATATAATTTCATTTTTAATATCAGACAGTCATTACATAGTGTGTAGGTATATCTTAACGCATTTGTCTTAATTAATGTTCGTTTTCTGTTGAATTAGATAGCAGGTACTACCTCGTGTGTTCATAAGTTTTGAGACAAACTTTTTACTGAAAAAATTAAATATTATGTTACTGGCTGTTATTTTTGGCTGTAATATTATGGCTGTTATCGATTTTGAATTTGGAATGTTACCTTTTAGTTTATTTGTATCGCAATTTCATTTGTTTATATTTTTTCGCGATGGAGGGAACGAAACAATTACATGCAACCAATGATATTAATATGTCTAGATACGCAATACATACCAAAAATCTGAAGCTACTAAAACTAAGACGTTTGTCTTAGTTTTTTCGTTTTTCACTTCATTACTCATTCAACTCCCGCCAAGAAAGTACAAAAAAATGTTCCGCAAAAACGAAGAAAAACAGTGGATAAAATACGATTCTCTTTCACAAATACACGTAATACGAAAGAATATTAAGTTTCACACTTAATTCATTAACATTTTTGGCAATAAATACAAAATTAAAGTTAGGATATAAAATAAAAATATTTAATTTTGTACAAATAAAATTTCGACATTTTGTCGTCAGTGTTGCCGCTGCTATTCACTTTCAATTTTCCCAGGTATATGGGAGCCTTTTCTTATTATTTTACGTGGCTATAATTTATCTAAATATCTTTTTATAATTAATTATATAGCTCGGCTTTAGTATAGGCAACTGCGCTTATTGTGTTGATATTTACACGCACACAGATGCTCATGTGGTTTAATTTTGTCAATGCGTGGAATTCGTTAGTTGTCGAGATACAACTTTTGAAAATACGTAAAATTGAACCTTTGTTTGATGTTTTATGAACTTTGACAAATGTTTTTGTCTTAACCACTGGCTTTATCGAAAAACAAAGGGATATATATGCACAGAGCCTACTTTCGCGATTGTTTATTTTTTCAAAGTTTTTTCGAAGAAATTTTTAAAGTTACAGTATTTTACTAATTGATTTTATACATATATCTACACTACTCGTTCATTCATTCATCACAATGGGTGAAATTTTCGACAGCTGGCAATACAATATCAATTACCCATTTTTCCGTTCATTCTGGTGTTCGCACATATTCTGTCTTTGTTTAATTTAAGGTTAAATCGTGGATATGAGAGAGACAAATATAATAAACCTATTTATATAATAGAGTATAAATATTATTTGCAAAGCTACGTCCTGATTTCGGAAAAGTGCTACGCTTTTTGGCGCGTTTGTTGTATGGAATTGCTTCTCTAGTTATTAAACTCATTGCATGCAACTGTCATTTCGATATTTAAGGCGGAAAAAAAACTGATGCAGTTTTCTGCGAGTTGAAAAGTTTTCCTGTTAACCGTAACTTTGTTTATTACACAATACAGCGGTACAAAGAGACAAGTTCTCTACAAGATCAAAGGAGTGGTCAGCCACGCTTTGTGAGGACGCCTGCGAACATCAAAATCATACGAGAGCGACTTCGCCGAAATCCATGTCGCACTCGGAAGAAACTCGCTCTGCAGACTAATATTTCGTGCATTTCAGTGAACACAATACTGAAATATGACTTTAACGAAAGAAAAAGTTCACTTTTAAAACGATCGTCTTCGTAAGTTACGACGCGAACATTGTCCATTGCTGCTGAGGAGACATGATGCCTGGAAGATACTCTTCAGTGACGAGAAAATTTTAACGGTCGAATAAAAGTTCAACCGACAAAACAATAAAGTGTACGTTAAAAGTAGCAAGGATGTCCCAGCTTCTGCCTCGTAATGTCTCGTTCATTCATTATCCAGCTAATGCGATGATAATGAGTTTCGTATGAAGGTGTCACTCCGCTCCATTTCTGCCAACAAGTTGTCAAGGTGTAAGCCAAAAATTATTAGAGTGACATTTTAGAGCCCGTGGTAAAACCCCCGTCTGGGACGTTATTTCACAATAAGGATTGGGTTTTTCATCGAGACTCGACGCCATCCTATAAGGCAAGAAGCACCCAAGCTTGTTTGAGGGAGAATGTGCCGGCCTTCATCGTGGCGGACGAGTGGCTCTCCTCCAGCCCCGACCTCAACCGGCTGGATTATTCTTTATGGACTGAGTTAGAGCTCAGGGCTTGCCCAACGTCTCACTCAAACTTGGAGTCACTGAAGCGAACCCTTGTTCGAGGAGCAAAGCTGATTACGCTAAAAAAGATTCCTGCCGCCTTTGATGATTGGCAAATCGTCTAAGAGCTTGTATTAAAAACAAGGACGGTCATTTTGAATAAAATATATATTTTATTGTTGATTATTATCTATTTAATGATTACTAAAGATTTTAGAAATATAAGTTAATTATTAAAAACGTTACGCAACCATACGCAACCCATAGGAATATATTTATTGTAGCGATACTACAATTTTTGCCGAACATTTAAAAAATACTATTTTTCGCTGAACAAATGTCGTCATCCCTATCAATAATACAACAGCAAGTTGTCGGTCCAAAAGTTTATATTTAGTTTAAACTATTGGCCGCCTCCTGTAAATTGACAATGACAGAAGAGAAAACGTCGAGTCGAGGAGACATGTTGACTTATTTTGGTCAGATAATGGTCTAAACCTTATACTAAAGTTAGTCCTCGTTTTATAATAAGACGGCATGTGTCTGATTAAATGAATAACTCTTAAGTTTATGAATGGGTTCGAGGGCGTATTTTATTATACAGTTACAAGATACTTTCACTATGAAGCGGTTGCGCCAATGCACAGTCAATAAGCCCTTCCCTGAATACTAAAATAAATTCTCGAATAGTATGGCAGATAGGAATCACGCTATCGTAACGCAAACTTGTTCTGCATAGATAATGTAAAAATATCGTTATGGACGTTCCGCTTGTAGGTCCGGAATAACGATGAATTTTATTTTATCATACTTCCTTACTTTGTATTTATTATGAAAAATGAAAGTTACACTGAGAGTGTACCTGGGTATATGCAGTTGACATACTTGTCTACTGTATATACTCAGATGTATGCATATACTGAATACAACTATGTCGTAATACAAATTACTAATTTGCATTACCGACAGGGAATATTATGCAAAGATATCGATGTAGATGTCAGCACTAGCACATGTAGTAAACAAACAAACTTTTTCGAGCATTCGTCTCTTGGAAATGAATAAATTTCTTCCTTCTTAAGTATCTATATCCAAATGTTATTTTATTGGATTAAATAACACTATCATTCACATCATTGCTGTATTTTTTGATGTGAGAAGGAAGGAAATCGTTCATTTCCAAATAACAAAATGTTCAGAGAAGTTACATAGTTTGTACAGTTTGGTTACAAGTGTAGTTTTTTGTTAGTACATGTGCTAATGTTGCTATCTACGTCGAGCTTTGCGCAATATTCCCTGTTGCAATAATTATGTCAAAGTCAAAATAATCTTTATTCAAATGGACTTCTTAAAAAGTATTTTTGAATCGTCCAAAATTTTTTTCTCTACCGCTCGTTCAGGACGTCTTTTAGCTGATAAGAAGAACGAGCAAGAAACTCGCCAGCTCTACTAGGAGTAAAGACATTTACAAAAATGATGGCATGGTTATTACCAGATCAATACATTATAAGAAGAGAGAGAAAAAAGAACTTGGTCTTATAATGATAACATAATCATTTAATAATAATGGAAGCAAGATAATTTTTGATATATAATGAGTTTAGAAGTAATCACCTATCCAGTTGCTGGATCATCTCAAGTCCAAACATTCTTATCTGTTATATAATCGGATAACTTATATTATTTTTTAATAAGTATTTTTTTAATAGAAGTTTTAAACTGCATGATATCTAATTGTTGTATTTTGCTTGGGACCTTATTGTAGAAGCGCACACAAATACCCCTGAATGAGTTATTAACTTTTTGCAGTTTAGTGACAGGCACCGTTAATTTATTTTTATTTCTTGTATTAAAATTGTGTACATAACTTTTTATAGAAAACAAACTAATATTTTTACGAACTTACATTAAGTTCTCGTATATGTATTGAGAAGCAACAGTTATTATGTCTATTTTCTTAAATTTAAAGAGTCTTAAAGAGTCCCTAATCCTAAGATTATAAATTGATCTAATTGCTCTTTTCTGAAGCACAAAAATCGTTTGTATGTCGGCAGCATTTCTCCACATTTCCCGGCAGGATTCCGTACGACATCACACTTTAAAGTAACTGAAGTATATTAATCGGGCAGTATCTATGTCAGTTAACCTACGTATCTTTATTACGACATATGCTGCAGAGCATATGATCTCTACGAAACTTAGTGTAGACATTTTCAAATTGTATTTGAAAAATAAACAATGGAATCTTTATTGGCCTTTCCATAGCTGTTTATAGGCCTTCTCGATCACACGCTGTTTCTTTCTATCCTGGGCTTTGAGGATCCAGTTTTATCCGTACAGACATGCAATATCTTTTTGGTTGTTATCCGACAATACTTGTTCCTGTCGTTGGTCTCCAACACTGACTTTATTTTCCATCCGTTCTTCGGTAACATTTCCCGTACAACGCCATCTCTTCTTTGCACAGACATGTGATATGTCGGTCACTTTACATGTACGCCTGCTTATTTTTGTGATCCTTAGTCTATCAGGTATTGTAATACCGAGCATAGTCCGCTCCCATTTTCCTCTCTTCTACTTTGAGCTTGCAGATTAGGTCTAGTAAAGGTTAAGGTCTCAGAACTATACAATTGAATACCCATACTAATATGTTTTTGCAGGTGTGTCGGCGGTAGAGTGGGATGCTCCAACACCTTACGATCCAGTGTGGCTTGCCAGTGTGCAACAGTATCCAGCTGTGCCCCCACTTAACGAGACTAGATTCTGGTGGGGTTGGGTCTATGAGCAAGATGTACAATTCAGATTGTTTACTAGGTATGAATTAATAATGGCTCAGTTACACTGGTCGATGACATCCGTGTGCGGCTCTCTTTCATTGATCAATATGATTTGAGATTGTTTTATTGACCAATAAGTCAATGCAGAGCTCTCTTGCACTCCAAGTGCTGACCCCATCGACTAGTGTAAATGAGGCAGAAAAAAGTTACAGTACGTACGCAAAATATGTTCTTATTTTATGTAAGGTTAATCCTCTATAGCAGATGTTTTAGTAACGGAAATCAAGCCATGTTTTATAAATGTAAGGCTTTAATTTACATCATAAATGATATATTACTGCACGGACGCATATAAGGGGGGGTTTTGGGAGTCCGGACATATCCATACATACCATTCATATCCATCTTACTTCTCCAACAGAAAAAAAATATACATGCAGCACGTCTATTGTAGAAAACGATAGTTGCTGTGCAGCGTGTCCCTAATCAGATGGCTATAAAACATAAAATACTAAATTTAGTACTTTGAAGTAACAACTTTGTTACTTTTGAATAAATATTACAATACTCGTACATACATTACATTACAACTTTTTTTTTAAAGGCACCTACTCAGAGTAACTTAAGTTATATATTATAGATTCGTATATATTATAATTGTTTTTGCGTGTTTTAGTCGCAGGCAATATTTAATTTGTAAATGATAGATTTTATTCGTGTTAGAGCTCTGTTTTTTGTTTTGGGGACCCCCGCCTTGTCAAAGCTATAGCTACGTCCGTGTATTACTGTATTACAGGTGGCTTGATGCGTATCTTGTATTACTGAGGCCTCTGCCATACATGGCTGAAATCAGCCTGTCCCATATTTTAAGTAATATAATATATATATCAATAAGATTGAATATATATTGATAATTATAATCTTACTAATATGTATTGTGAACTTATTAACGTTAAATTTTTTTCTTGATATACAGACGTAATCCGTATGAGTTTCAAGTCTTAAAAATCAACGATTCCATGTCCTTGTGGGATTCAAACTTCGATTTTAATAAAAAGGTGAAGGTACTTACTCACGGGTGGCTCAATCATGGAGACAGTCCAATGCCTGAATCGATCAAAGAAGGTTTGTATGAATATATATATTACTCTTTGGCAAGTAGGTAGTGTTTGTAGTGGGTAATGTATGCATAGCAAGTAATTAAGCGAGCACCAACATGCTGCTTATTCCTGTCTCACATAACTGTTTCTCTTTAGGTATCATAAAATCGAGATGCACTAGAACTGCATCAAATATTAATACTGGTTTGTGAATAAATATCAAGGTTTCAAGTTACGCAGCATAAAGTCTGTGTACTGATGAAGTCGTGACAATTTATCAAAATAATTTTATCTCTCTAGATAAAAAAGGTGGTCAAGATCCCGTACCACCGTTAATTAAGTACAGACTCAAATTGATTTGAGAAGCCTTTTGGAACCTGATGTGTCGACTGTGCACCTTAGGTTACCGCAATTTTGTTTAAAACAATAAGTTTAAAATTAAGTTGTGAAATTTGACAGATTTGTGTAGTCTGACGTGTTGTTGACTGTACAAATGAATTTGAGCTCTCTAAAAAACAAATACTAAAACGTTAACATACATTTTACTAAGAAAAATATTACTTAATAGTCGAAAAAATTTAGACGATAAGCTTTTAGTATAACATCTCAATTTAAAACCTTTCTATTACCTTCGAATTCATCTATTATCCGTATCGTTTGTAGTATGTGAAGAATTTATTAATTACTGCTACAGGGAAATGCTTACTCGATAATGTACTGCATGGATTTGACCTAGCTAGAGTCTATCCAACCATACTAAGTAAGCCGACAATCAGCTATTCAATGTTTGCCTAATTTGGTTTGAAATCTGAAGGAGGAAAGAAGCGATTTGGTATAAGGGACGTATCAAGCGTAATTTGTAGATGTGCTACTTAGATTATAATGTACTTATAGAATAAGAAACTATAATATTAGGAATAATGAAACCTGAAAATCATCATACGGCTGACGATGATAATAAAACCGAAAGGAATTAGTTAATAAACAAACAAGTTATGAATAAATGTTCATATTTCAGTAAATAATTTAAATATTTGATTTGTTTTTGCATATTTTGTTGATTTGAACTTGAAAGCATGTTGCATGATTAAAAGACAACATCTAGATAAGCTGAATGTATACAAGCATAATTTATAATAAAAAGATAGAAGATAAGATTTGTTTGTAATCTTTACAATAGTAAAGATATATGCAACAGTTTGTTAGTTAGAGATAGTTGGATAGGTTGTAGATATTTTCGGTTTAATATAGTAATATACTTAAATGTTTAGCTACGAAAAAGTGAACTAGATATCCTGCATTTTGTGAGAATCTGATATGAGGTTTCTACCAAAAGTAATTATAAAAATTAAATAGAAAAACTGTGCCTGTGTGTCATTCTGCCCATCTTGAAGTGGCACAGGGGCCATTGCTGAGATAGGGTCCACGTTGAACGCACTCTTTTTTCTTCATGGAAATGTTTGTTACACATTGTTGTACGTGCACAGATATGGTTAATAAATTTCTTTTTATTTTTCTTTCTTTCAAATAAGATTACTTAAGAACGATCTGCACGGAATAGACTATAGATTAATAATACTAATATCGCCCACAAACTTGCAAGTACTTATTAAAAAATATCTATCTTGTTAATATAACAAGGTCAACATTGCCATAAATTTATATTAATTAGTGATAAAAACTGATCTGAATTTTATAATCTTCTAAAAAAGCCTTAATTTTTATTAATGAACCACGAATACTGGTGCTTAGTGTATTGTTTTTAACCACGAGTATTGTTTTTAATCTTAATAAACTAGAAACGATAGAGATAACAGATAGAAATTGAGATTATAGAAATGTCTCTGAATTTAAGGTATGTTTCTTCAGTTTCAATTATCGAACGTTCTTTTCATTTTCTTTTTCAGTGAAAATATACGTATGTTAGTTTATATGTTAGTTTTTTATTCATATACATGTACATTACAGTCGTCAACACATCAGGTTCCAAAGGGCTTCTCTAATCGATTTGACTTATAACCTTCGGAAGGTTCGGTCATAGGATGGGTTAAAAATATTATTTCGAGGTACTTCGTGCTTTTGTAAGCACGTTAAGTCGTTAGTCCCGGTTGCATTTGCAGAAATTAATACCCTCCAATAATCCATAAGGAAAGCCTGAGCCCCTGCAGTGAGTACGAAGAAGGACTGATATTGATATGACTATTCGTAAATCTCGAGATTTCCCATTAAAACCTCAGATTTACCTATGTTTAATGCACTTGGTAAATCTTGGGTTTTACTGTTAATGTTGATAGTCAACTCCAAATCAACAACACAGATACATTTTTGTGTATAAATAGTAATTTTTCTGGTTAGGTTATATGTTAGTATGATGTTCTGGTAGATATGACTCGTAACTAAACAAGTATAGTATCCGATAAATGATTAGGTTATATACTAATAATGATATTTAAAAATATTAACATAATGATAAATGAATATTAGGTAAGTCTTTCACTTGCCTATTTACGAGACGTGGTTGTTGATCACTCAGCAGGCAATAGAGAGAGCAATGCTTGGTGTTTCTCTACAATATAGTATTAGGAACTAAGAAATCCGTAGGAGAACCAATGTTACTGATATTGCTTGAAGAATCGCTCAGCTGAAGTGCCAGTAGGTGGGAAACATAGCTAGAACAACCGATGGTCGTTGGGGCGTAAAGGTTCTAGAATGGCGACCGCGTACCAGACGACGTTCAATCAGATGGCCTACGATATTATAAAAGTTACGGGAAGCCGCTAGATGCGGGCAGCGCAGGACCGAACATCTTTTCACTAATTGTGATTGAAATTTATGATTACAAAATAATTTTTAACTAATGAAAATTACTTGACGATTGTGCAACTGGCTGTATAATGTAACGCGTCGTAGTTTTTATTCATTGCCACAACGTGTTGTGGTCAAATAGTATGGCATCCATGTCACGGATTTTGCTATGTGGTTATTCTATGAATGCCACAACGTGTCGTGAGCGTTTCCGTAAGAGCCAACGCGTTGTGAACTATTTTTTCGCTCAATGAGAGTTTTTCGATCTTTGAGCGTAGCATACATGTTGAAAAATAGGGAAGATAAGATACATCCCTGATAAGATATTGTCTACTTTTACGCTGACCACGCAATAATTTAAAGCTACCTTTGTAGAGCTGACGAAGGAGATGGATCAAGTGTTTCTATACACCTTTAACTAGAAGTGTCTTCTAATACTGCGGCCACAGAGTCAAATGCCTTCTGGAAATCCTCAAAGCATTGTTTATTTCTTAATTAAATAATTCAGAATTGTATATAAAATACACATTTTCTTTTCAGCATATCTAAATGTTAGTGATCTAAACATAATAGTGGTAGATTGGGGTAACGCAGCTAATGTCAATTACATTTTGGCCAGTTACAATGTGGCGATGGTTGGGCGATTGTTGACACAATTCCTAAACTTCCTCATAGATGAGGGTGTATCTATGGATGATATGCATCTCATTGGACACAGTCTCGGTGCTCACGTGGTCGGCATAGCAGGAGCTTACGTTCGGGAAGGCCCTATTGATACGATAACAGGTAATTTTATTTAAAGAAACATAGAATATTTGTTTGATGGTTGTTTTGAGTTTGACTTCGATACAAAATTCAAATGGGTGCAAAAACGTCTTTATCATCAGACTGCATGAAGTCCATTTTAAGGCAATTTGACTAAGAAGTGAATTAATAAAATAATATCAACATTAAAAAAAATGGAAGGTAGCTTTAAAATTCAACGATATTATTATTTTTTTGTCACGTGTTGCAGCCATCTGACTCTGCACCGGGTACTGAATGATGTTTACCCTTAGAAATTCAACATACTGGAGTGTCAAGATTTAGAAAATTCTTGTACATTTTTGTCACTACCCCCTAGACTATTAAAATATAATTTAGTTGCCTTTTTGCTCTAATTGAATAATCTTAAATCTTTGGTGAAATCGATTATTTCAGCTCATGAAAATACGGATGAATTTAAAACCATATAACTTTATACAATTGCAGGTTTAGATCCAGCTCTTCCACTATTCACACTGGGAAATAAAGACGCGCGTTTAGACAAACATGATGCACGTCACGTCGAGGTGATACACACTTGCGGGGGATATTTAGGTTTCGCGTCTCCTTTAGGCCATATTGACTTCTACCCAAACGGGGGCACCAGGCAACCAGGGTGTAGATTTGATTACAGAGGCAAGTAAAATATTATATGAGGATACAATAATGTAACTTTCAAAATAAGAACAAAACTTTAAAGTATATAAAGGTATTATTATAAAATTGGTAAGATTACAAAACTAATAGGTCATTGGTTATGTATGATTTTAATATTTATTGATTTAATGACGTGTATATAGTCAATATATCTAATATAAAGGCTTGTTTCTGATTGCGCTATTAAATAATTTGAATGAAATGATTAACCTCCCATCCACCTATAAGTCATATGCTCGTAGAACTTTTTTTCACTGCAAGCGATAAATTATACGACACAAGAACTGTCCAGGTTTTGTATGCAAAGTGAAAAGAATTTCCTCATACGTTAACTTATTGGTTCTATTTTTATTTGCCGTAGTAAACACATAATAACTGAAAAAGTGTGGATGGTGGATTATGGCCATTACTCCTCTTCCTTGTAGACTTTAGACTCATAATGAGGAACTACATTTGAAAAAATATCTTTTTCTTCAATATGCGATTAGTTCCGGATAAATAGTCTAATTATGTTTCTATTCATATTTTTAGATAGGCAGAGGAAACCGTAATCTACATTTTTCAATTCGCGTTTTCAACGTCCATTACTTATGTCTCAGCTTTCGGTGGTTTCTACGTACTTTCACTTTCTCGTTGTGTATATCAATTTTGTCCTTATTTCAGGACGTTCGTTCCACATGTCCGAACCAATAGAGCATGCATTTGCTTAATTTAATATACATTAAACAATATTAAAATTTCAAATTCTAAAGTCCTACAACTCTTAATAGCTAAACCCTTTTTTCGAAATCTGAAACAACTAAGGCACCATGAAATCTACATTCGCGATAAGATAAATAAGTGTTTTCTTTGTAAAATACTCGACTTCCAGAAATTCTTCGGTTTTCTCAACGACCGTATGCATGTTTCAGGTTTGTGTGCACACAATCGTGCACATATGTTCTTTTCGGAGTCCATCATATCAGACGTGCCGTTCACGGCTGTACGTTGTAAGGACTATGACGAGCTGTACTACAGTGGTTCTTGCAAAGGCACCGGAGAGACACTCATCATGGGAGGATTCGATATACATTACGGGTATAATTTTAATTCATTCTAGCTTTTTAGACAGTAATTGGATCCACAATTTCTGTTTCTGTTTTTGTATTTCTATTTTTTTTTTCGTTTAACCCTTCTGTGAATTTAGACAATGAATATTATAAAACTTGTGAATCAGTCTCGCCGTTCACGAATTTTGCTTTTAGCAACACATTCAGCCATTAATTTCTATGTATATAGGTATAGATTATAAATCCAATTACGCTCTGCTCTGGGTTGTGGAACTTTATGATAAAAGTATATGTAGACTGTGTTGGATACTTAATCTACGGTGAAATTTGTCTAGTTCAATATATCTTTACGATGTCGTTTCATTCAAATCTAATGTCTTATCCAAATCATAACTTTATACAAAAATACAGAGTGATGTTTTTTTTTCTTGAAGATGGAATTACCTAGAGCTATTATGAAGCGAGTAGAAATTAAAAAAAACTCAGCCAACCATTTATATTCAGATGAGGTCATTTTAGACAAAGATTACATAGAAACAGCATCTTTGCAGCAGTAACTATTTAATATGCATCTGTTTTGTTACTAAGTACATATAATTGTGCAATTCAAGAAATTCAATCTACATTAAAATCTTCGTATCCATAAAATCTGCTGTATAAGTATCGTCTTCCAATGTTAGGGTTTGATTACGGTATCTGACCATAAAATATACGTTAACGTATGAGAATAATGTACTACAATGTAAGTACAATACACATCCGAGTGTGATACGTGATGTGAATGTTTGTGGTCCCCTAATATTTCATCACGCGCTCACGTATTGTGAACTTCGCGTTCGGTGCAAGAAGCTAAATGTTGTAACACTTCGTTAGTTGAGTCATATAACGAGGTTTCGTCCTAATTAGCGATGTGAGCATTTTTTTAACCTCAATGGAACTAATACATAAGCCTCTCTACTTCCGAGACAAATGTGTGACGCATTATAAACTATATTCTACCATGGAGGAAATAGTGTTCTAAATAATTACTTGAGAAAATGTCATAACTTAGGGCCAGTTTTTTGATCCGTGGTTAACTCAACCATTTGTTAAAATCTTTGACAAATGGTTAAATATCAGAAAAATATGTTTTTTGATTAATAGTTAGCCTAACCAATTGTCAGAATTACAACCATTTGTCAAAAAATTTAACCATCACTGGAAGCTAGGTTAAGTAAATGACCAATTGTTAAAAGAACAGATGTACAACTGCGTTGTATTTACTTGGTCCCTTGTTATTGTTTTTTACGTTGTTTTTATAACCTACATGATTTCATAGTGAATTTGTACATTAGCTATTTTTGGGATTTCGTTTTATGATGCAATTTCATAGGAAAATATTAATTGTCATTTTTTGGTTATAGGGTTATTGAAAATAAGTTATATTTTTATCTTGATCATCCTTAGTATCTATATTTGTACTATATAGAAAGAATTTTCTTGTTTCCACGGGCAGATGCCAAATTATTCAATTATTAAAAATCTTATAAATTCCACGAATAGACAATACAAAAGGTAAATATGCCTTCAGTAAATAAAATACATAGTCCTTGATTTATTTTCCAACGTTACAATCCCACCTTGGATACTAGATACTATATTCTTTTCACGTATTTCTCTATAGGATAAATAAAAAACAAATATATGCTTTTTATAAAAAGTTAAGTTTAAAATAACTGGAAAAACATATCTTTGTTGCTTTCTAACATCATTAAAGAATTACCTTATACTTCCTGAAAAATAACACATAGTGCACACAACAGAACAACCATAAACATCCACACTCTTTGATAATCTATAGATTTCTTTCGTCTATTTGATATTTAGAACAAAATCCTAATGTCAAAAATGGTATAAATAGTTCGCTCCGTTCATTCAAACCGTTAGTGTTGTCACCCAGAAAAAAATTACCCATGTCAATGTATAGCGAAAAAACGACTCATTGTGCTGGCAACAAATTGGCCAGTGGTTAAATTTGACTATGGTTAAATTTGGCATCAAAAAACGAAATAGCGAGTTAACAACTTGTTATTGTTTTAACTATAGTCAAGTTAACAAATGGTGAAATGACATTTGACTACGGATCAAAAAACTGGCCCTCGAACATTTTTAACTAATAGACAAGAATTTGAATGAAGTAAGAAGTCTAAAGAGCTCATGATAATGGTTTTCTTACTTTTGAGTGTTCTTACGTCACTCAAATTCTCTTAAATTGACTGGGTAAAAAAAGAAATTCTATTTAGTCCGTCAGTCAGATAATAGAAAAATATTATATACGTATTTTTTTTTTGCTTCAATTTAACAAGAAATTACTTAGATAATAGGCATTAAAGTTAATGAGTGTGGGCTCCGTACGTCACAGCTGCGTAGAAAATGTACAAAAGCGTGACGTCATTCGACATTTCAACTAATTGTATCGTTGTAATTTATTGATTATGCAAAAAAAAGAAATAAAAAGATCGTGTTTAATATTCTTCAAAATCTACCTGACGGATAAACATACAAAAATTGGTTTTATGCTTACTACGAGTGTTACAGTCGTGTCTGAAGTCGAGAGAAGTAATTACCAATAGACGAGAATTTTAATGAAGTAAGAAGAGTCAATAGCTAATAATAATAGTGTTTTAACTATCACCAGTTTTTACTTCATTCATTATTATGACATATTCATAAGTTATTATTTCTCTCGACTATCGATACGATACGAGGGTTTATCTTACAAAATATATAGAACTTCATCGTATAAACTCTTGAGACTAGAATAGGAAAAGATTTAATTAAAAAATTATTATGATTTCTACTTTTTAATATTAAAATCCATTGTTTGTGGTAGATGTTATACCTCCTTTTTTATTTCAGTTTTCAGTTTGAAAAATCACCAAGCTTTATTTATTTTCAGGAAAGACGGAATTTATTACTTGAAGACCAACGCCGAAAAACCCTTCGCTCTTGGGGACCTGTCGTGAATTACAATAATATATTAAATTTGCTCTTTGCCAACTTCGCCTATAAATTATAAATTACAAAGAAATTTAAGGTGCGGTTAGCAGTTCTTGTTTTTCTCTTAACAAGAAATGTCTGACGTCATTAGGGGCTTTATAATTAAGACGGTGTTTAGTGTTGTTATTTATTTTATTTATTGTTTGGGTATAAGTAAATAAGTATGAATGTTTTATTGACGAACAAATTTGTAAATAAAGACGAATAAATGCTTTTTATTTTAATTTGTCTGATTCTTGGGAAGAAATATGTTTTAAAGAAATAATCCTTGTGAATTTAAAAAATAACTTCATCATATTTCAAAACGGAGACGTCGAGTATAAAGGAGAATTCATATACATATAAATCAAAATTGAAGTTAAATGACAGTTAAATTATTGAATATTTTTGTGATATTTATTTTATAGAAAAATTGTTATTCTTGTAGAAATAAATACTCCCTGGTGCACGTGACGGTATGCTAACCTAATTACCTTGCCATGCCATCACCTTTCGCAATTCGGTTGGACTGCTCTAATCATTATAAATAATTATTACGTGCTATAACAGTGAAAACACCATTAAGTTCCCTAAAAGTAACTTACAGCCAGTTGCACAAATATCCATTAAATTTTTCATTAGTTAAAAGCGACATTACCCATACAAATGTGACATTCATTAGAGCTTAAAGACGCCATGAAACAACGGATCTTCGTTCAACTGAATGTTACGCTCTAATCAGCCAGTTGCACAAACGTATATTGAAATTGACATTAGTTTAAAACGACATTACCCATACAAATGTGACATTCATTAGAGCTTAATAGCGTCATTAAACCTTAACGGATCTTCGTGCAACTGAATGTTACGCCCTAATCAGCCAGTTGCACAAAATTCCATTGAAATTGACATTAGTTTAACACGACATTACCCATACAAATGTGACATTTATTAAAGCTTAAATTCGTTATTAAACCCTAATGAATGTTTGTGCAACTGACCAAATGAATGTTAAATTTGTATCAGTAATGTCACTTTATACTAAGGACAATTTTAATGGACGTTTGTGCGATTGGCTGTTAGTGATGAATGAATAATTGAAAAAATCTTTTGGCAGCTGTTTCAAAGAATATGCACGCACACTACAGCAAACGAAACCGGAAACATTTTCCTTTAGTTACGAACGATAAACCTGTTTTCCATTATACGATCTGTGAAGTCACAGGCACCGGGAAATGGTCCAAAACAATAATAACTCCAGGATATATCGCATCTCTCATATTATTGTATGATGCAGAGGGGACGTTGAAATATTTATGTCTCCAAGTTTCTTTTAGCATATCCTTTTCACCATTATTTGTATTGCAATGCGTCACATATATTATAGTGGGAGGAGTTGAAATTCTTGAAATATGTGCGGACTGTAGTATGTCTTGTTAATTTATATCTGTAAGTCGTGAATGAATAATTGTTATGACTGTTGTGCCAGCGTGGTAGCTGCTTTATGATTTCCTTAAATGTTTATGATTTATTTAGTATAAAAAAACGAATATACACACGAAAGTAATTTTTCTACGTAGTATTAGACGGAAATCGAACCCGTGATAGTGACATCAATAACATGTTCAACTGTAGAGAATGTACCCATACAGCTGCACCTTAGGTTACCACAAAAAGTCAAAAATCTGCAATGGATTTTGACCTCTACTCTCAACGTATATGGCTTTAAAATCGTGTGGAGAAATTTGACAATTTGAAAAGTCTGATGTGCTGTTGACTGAACTTGCATTTCTTCAATATAAAATCATGTGGATCCACTAACACGATTTGTCGAAACTGCTGTCAGACTATTACTAAGTTGACATCAAATATGACATCCTTGCAGCCAAATAGTCTGTATTTAGGTAAATTCCGAAAGTGGTAAAATATATGACAGAAACAAAGAACTAAATGCCGAAATGGATGGATAGAAAACGTTACACTGCAAAAGTTATTTTTCATTGATCTTTTTAGACGATTACTTAGTATTTGGTAGTTACTTTCGCAATAGTTCGAAAGTGTATTCCAAAAAAATAAAATTCATTTTTTTGCGTTCCTCATATATCTCTAAGCAAAATAGGTTAAAAATATTTTCTTAGATAAAAAAAGGTATTTTATTATATCAATAGCTAAAGCCTTCGTTCAAAGATTGGACGGATAAAGTTTCAGTGAAGCACTCAATAGTTTTTATTGATGTCGCCAAAATTGTCAGGAAACAACTATCTGGTCCATTAAATAAATTGCTCTCCCTTTATGGCTTTGCAGAAAAATATCATCGTATATTTTCTAGCCTTGAAGATATGAAATTATGTCTGTAAAACAGATCAGAACATTTATATACGTCATGTTCACTTAAAAGGTTCTGCACACTTCTTGGAGCTAAGCTTGAGATTTGCTCCGGATCTTATCTAGTATTTTGTTCACGTTGTACAGATGGTCTTAAAATGTGCGCCCTATGATGATAATGTATCTGATAACCCAGAGCGCACGAATTTCATCAATTTCTCAAAAGTTGCAGGTGTATTGAATAAACCGAACGGCATGACTTTAAATTGCCACATACCCTTTCCTGTTGAGAAGATAGTTTTCTCCTTATCCTAGTGGTCCATTTCCACCAGCCAATAGCTACGCTTTAGGTCCAGAGTGGTAAATCACTTGATCCCAGTAAGAGTGTCTAATGTGTCGTCTATCCTGGGTAATGCATAATTGTCTTTCTTTGTGACATCATTCAGATGTCGATAATCGATACAAAGCGCATGCTGCTGTCTTTCTTTTTAACTAAGATCAGAGATGAACCTTGTTTGATTGATAGTTCTATGTCACACATGTTCAGTTTTCGTACTGCTGAAATGTCGAAAGCCTTTATTAGAGTCCGTGCCATAACCCATGAGGCACCCTCTTGACGCCTTTCGATGAGAACGCACCTCGTCTTGCCATCTAGACTCTTTGGCAGTCGCACGGGTACTACTGTTTCTGACCTTGTTGGAAGAACAACATTTTGTAAGCAATAACCGTCGCCTAATGATGCACATTCCATAAACAAATTTTCCGGACCGCATTTCAATACTCCTTACTTTATATCGATCTCACAGTGATATTTCCGCATGAAGTTCAGATCCAAAATATAGTCGTCCACAATGTTTTCTGACCACTAGCCAGCACTCGCCGCACAGTCCTGGCGTTTATTCGGCTCCCTACTGCTATGAGGCGGTACTGTCGACCGTCGTTCGACCCTTTCCACCGTCGTTCTATCCCCACTCCTGCTTCTCCTTACTCTAGGGCAATTCATCCGAAGATATCCCCTTGTTCACAAGCAAAACACCTGGGCCTGAATCGTTTTGGGCGATCGCTCGCCACTCGGGCGTATACAGTGACCGCGATCGTCCTTGCGGAATGCTTCTACCTCCAGAGTATGGGCTAGTGCGTCCTTCAGCGTCTTGTAATATCCCAGTCTAACGGCAGTCCTTACTTTCAAGTCACGGATCCCGTAAACGAAAGCTTGTACCAGCGTGTCTTCATCCAGAGCAGAATTTGAATGTTATACTTTTCGGACGAGTTTCTCAATCTCAATGGCCTACTATTGTAAGCTCTCACAGCTCACATTGGATTCGGTCTTTTATTTGACCCTGACACATTCTAGGTGTGCGGCATCATATCGCGACTTCAATGCTTCCATCATCTTCTCATAGGTGACATCATCACCTTGCCTGTGCCAAGGCCTGATCGCGGAGGCTCAGCGCTAGTACAGTCCCTGCTTGCTCCTAAGTCCAGTCCATTTGCCTCCATGATCATGCGAAACTGGATTTTGTAAGCAGACTATCTGACGCTGGTTTTTAGATCGACTCGACTAAGATAGTCGCCGTCAAAGACTAGTCAGCCCCGAAAGACAAGACGCAGGTCAGAGCTTTTCTCGGATTCTGCTCATACTACCGACGGTTATTGAAAAACTTTGTAGACAGTTTTAATGAAAAATGCTAGAAAAATCCTCTTTGTCCCTGGCACTCTGAGTAGTGAAAAGTAACAAATGCTTGATGAATTCGTCAGTCCTATTAGGTCCTGAGTAACTCAGATGCAAAATGGTTGAATTATAATAACTTTGCAGATGTTCTGAAACCGTTACATAAGCTCACAGAAGAAAAGCGAACCTTCTGCCGGGACGAGAGTTGTGATGTAATATTCCAGGAGTTGGAGCAGCGACTGTATAAAGCTCTTATTTTGAGATATCCAGATACGGAGAATGTATTCATCGTCGATCATTATCATCTCTATGCAGACGATCTTCAAATATATGCTCAAGTAGATAAAATCAACATCAACGATGCTATTTTGAGCCTGAATCAGGATCTCTTTACTATTTTGGAGTGGTCCAACTGCTACGGTGTGACCGTTAATAGATCTAAGTGCCAAAGTATTGTTATTGGCAGTCCACGGCAGTAGTCAGCTATTGATAGAAATTGCATTACGCCCATACGATATAACGGTGAAATTATTCCGTTTTAGGCCAGTGTAAAAAATCTGGGTCTGCACATCGATTGTACTCTTAGCTGGGAGGTGCAGATTGGTGAAGTGTGCCGAAAAGAAGTTAACACGCTTAGGTCTCTTTATAGACTGAAATTTTTTCTCCCATTCAGCACTAAAATCGCACTGGTACAAACTCTTATTTAACCTATCGACGACTACGCTGACATCTGCTATTCTGACACCGATCAATATCTTCTCAACAAATTGGATCGTCTGCTCAATAATGCTATTCGATTCATATATGGCCTTCGTAAATACGACCATATCTCTAATTTCAGGAGGCAACTCGGTTGGCTGACTATCCTTCAACGAAGAAACCTACGAATTCTGTCTATGCTTTATAATATTTTATTCGATCCATGTACCCGTTTCGTTATCTTAGTTCCGGTTATGAGCACAATCTTCGCTCTAGTAGCAAACTAATTCT